AGATCCCTTGCCCCTTCTGCCATGTGAGGACACAGGGAAAAGATGGCTGTCTAGGAAGCGGGTCCTCACCAGACACTGAATCTGCTGCCACAATGATCTTGGACTTTCCAGACTCTAGAACTGTGAGAAATAAATGTTTGTTGTTTATAAAACACCCAGTCTCTGGTATTTTGTTATAGCAGCCTGAATGGACTAAGACAAGTGACAATTTAAAAATGACTATTGGCAATCATCAGATAAATAAAATCTCTAAAATAGGCATAGGAACTAGGTACCTAAGGGGCTGGCCCGATGGCATAATGGTTAAGTTCACATGCTCTGTTTCGGCGGCCTGGGGTTTGCAGGTTAGGATCCTGGGTGTGGACCTGCACACCACTCATCAAACCATGCTGTGGTGGCATCCTACATACAAAAAAAAAAAAAAGGAAGATGGGCACAGATCTTAGCTCAGGGCTGATCTTCCCCAGCAAAAAAGAGGAGGATTGGCAACAGATGTTAGCTCAGGGCCAATCTGCCTCACCAAAAAAAAAAAAAAAAATAGACAACAAAAAAAACTATGTACCTATGGAATTTTGAACCAGTTAGGATAGCAAGAAATACCAAAAACTTCAGATAGCATCTTGGTATATGACAGAGTACAATAATTGATGTTTATATGAAAGTAAGGAAAAAGGACGAATTACGTTTGATATATATTCTCTTAAAAGGCATGAAAATATTGAATATATCTTAAGTGCCCATTAAAATATTTTAAAAAGCAATGTGTGATGCTTAAAAGGATGAGCTGTAGTCTTTGGGAAAACTCAGTATATTGAAACACTTTGTTTCCTGACAATATCAGATGGATGAAGCCTAAGTGGAGCTATCTAGTAGCTACTAGATGGCCAACGCCTTGCTTGTTCTGTTTATGTTTAAGACAGGACAGAAAAGGATTTGCAGTCTAGGAGGGGAGGCCAAAGGAACACATAGGAAATTGCTATAGAATAACTTAAAATTACAAATAATTAAGCCAGCCCTGGTGATCTAGTGGTGAAAATTCGGCACTCTCACCTATGTGGCCTGGGTTGTTTCCTGATCAGGGAACCACACCATCTGTCTGTCAGTTGTCATACTGTGGTGGCTGCATGTTGCTGTGATGCTGAAAGCTATGCCACTGGTATTTCAAATACCAGCAGGGTCACCCATGGTGGACAAGTTTCAGTAGAGCTTCCAGACTAAGATAGACTAGGAATAAGGACCTGGCCACCCACCGCCAAAAAATTGGCCATGAAAACCCTATGAATAGCAGTAGAGCATTGTCTGATATGGCGCTGGAGGGTGAGATGATGGCATAAAAAAGACCAGGCAGGGTTCCGCTCTGCTGTACATGGGGTTACACGGGGTCAGAATTGACTCCATGGCACTAACAACAACATATGATTAAATACCAGAAGAGGAAAAAGAGAGTGATTCCTTTTGCCTGGAGAATCTGAGGGTGCCTTCCTAAGGAGGTGGAATTAGAGGATGAATCCGATTTGGATAAAAGGAGAGAAGGTGCAAAAAACCCTCCCAGGAAGGTAGGGGAGGCCACAGAAAGGCTGGCTGTGGGGAGAAGTCTGACCTGTATGGGGATCTTGAGGAGCTGTGGAAAATAAGGTCAGACAGATATTACCATAGGGTAAAGTTAGGAAGGCCTAACGGCCTAATTTCCTAATGTTTTACCTTCTTTACTCAGAGTATCACTTACCTTGAAGAGATACTGTAGTTATTGCTTGTTCTAGAGGCATTTTTAATCTTTAACAATAGAACACATTACTTTAAAAAAAAAAGAGAGAGAGAAAAGAAAAGCTACCTTCTTTCAAATCAGCTTGGTGACATAACACCCAACTCTAGATTCTCCATTCTATATTGATATCTAATTCAAAATGTGAGATCTTCTTGATTACTAGTATCCTATAGTCATGCTACTTTCTTTCCTTTTGGTCATATGCCACATCATCTTAAGCTCTTTTACCATGAAACTCTTGTGGTTAGAACATCTAACCACTGTAGAGATTCTGGTGCCTTCCACCGGCTTCTCTATAGGCCCTTATATAATAGTAGCCATCGTGATTAAAGCCCAGGCTCTAAGCAAAACTGTCTGCATTTAAATCCTGGACTCTGTCATTATTAGCTATATAACCTTGGCCACGTTACCCAAACACTCTGATTCTCAGTTACTTTTTTATTTGGTGAGGAAGACTAGCCCCTGAGCTAACATCTGTTGATAATCCCCTTCTTTTTGTTGAGGAAAATTGGCCCTGGGCTAACATCCATGCCCCTCTTCCCCCACTTTATATGTGGGACGCCTGCCACAGCATGGTTTGATAAGTGGTGTGTAAGTCTGTGCCGGGGATCCTAACCCGCAAACCCCAGGCCACTGAAGCAGAGTGCGCGAACTTAACCACTACACCACAGGGCCAGCCCCTGATTCTTAGTTTCTTCATTTTAAGGTGGGGATGGGGGCAGCAATAGCATCTACCTCAAAGGGTTGTTATGAGTATTAAATAAATTAATGCAGATAAAACACTTAGAAGAATGCCTGGTATGTATTACGTGTCATATAAGGGTTAGCTACTACTATTATCTCTAACAGGGAGAAAAAATGTATGCCTAATATTTAGTATAACTATACTCCCCATATAAACCCATTAAAAATTTTAGATTATTTCAAATTTAAGTTGCATTTTAAATGATTCTTGGAATAACAATTTAGTTTTAAAAGGACCTCAAACACCTTTTAATACAATCTCTCCTCTAATGCCATAGCAAAGGGCCTGGCAGGGAGTGGACTGAAGTATCTACTCAGCCAATATTTTCTATATGAATGAGTGACATTGCTAAACACTAAACGGTTAGAAGACAGACTGGTAGTTATTGTACTAAGTAGAGGTATGCTGGATGCTTTGGGAACACAGAAGAGGTGGGTCTAAATCCAATGGGGGTAGGAGTAAATCTATAAAAGCTACCCAGAGGCAATGATACTCAGCTGAGTTCTGAAGGATGCATAGGACTTGCCCTGCTGAAGAAGCAGCTTAAAGCGTTTAGATAGTCCCTTCGTGATACTGTTTCTGGTCAAACAATTCAAAATAGGGCAATTAGTCAATCAGAATAATTTTATTAATATTTATACCATAACGCGTACATGGAATTTCACTTTATCATCTATTGTTCTGACTGGTATCAAATTATTCCAAATAGGCAGACATTCCTATTAGATTAATAATATGCGTCTTCAAGCTTTTTGAAAAATCTAGTAGAAAGGAAAATAATAGCTTTTATCCAGTAGTTATCACGTGCTGGCCTCATAATGAGCTCTTTTAAAGAATTAACTCATCTAAACCTCACAAGAAGAGAGTTCTCTTATTGCCCAAGTTGATAAACTGAGTAAGTAGCAGAGCCAGGGTTTGAATTCAAGGCTGCCAAATGCATGCTCTTAATTACTACAGTAAATGAAGTTTTGGATTAATTACTCACTAGAAATACTGTCTTGTTTTCCTTTTATATAATTTGAAGATATATTCATAAAAATAACTTCATTAATGACATTAATTCAGATTTTCATTCTGAGAACTTTTGTAAACTGTTACACAAAATGTAATTTATAACTTTCCCTTCAACACTACAAGGATAAACCCATCACAAGATTTCTTGCTGGTCAGCACTGTTCTCCAGCTGAAAGTGCTGTCACAACCACATCTTCATTTGTTTTTTCCCCTAGTGGGTATAGAAAACTACTTGAATAATGCATATTCCTTTCTATATTCTTTCAACAGAACATTGCATATTTAAATCATTAAGATGGATTCCTGGTATGGACGCAGAATTTTATAAAAAGGAAGAAAAGTTTATTTGTAAATACCTGGAATAGTAGTCAATGACTGAGTGTATCATAGAAACCCCAAAACATAAAAAAATCTGGTATTCATCAAACAATATCTTTCAAATAAGGAAGTAGAGAACTCAAGTTCTTTCTCTCCGTAAAGCAGCTTCATTTTCAGGCTTCCTTCACAAAAGGAGTTGAATGCATGAAGGCCATCTGGCTATGCGATAGCCTCCCCTTAGACATTAATAGATGTAGAGATCAGGCCAGAGACTCCCTCTACCACTAGGCAATGTGACCATCATCCTCTATCATTTCAGAGATTACTCCTTTTACACTTTTTTTCAAGTCCTTTTCTTTACCTATGTCCCTACTGTTGACAACAAACCACAATGTTGAATACCATTGGGTTTCCACTAATGTTTTCTAGACACTTCTGTATTTTTCCAAATCAGAGGATATAACTGTTTCCACCAGGAAATAAAATAGAGGTCATTGCAGCAGCAGTGACTTTCAAGCTGTTTGCTAAATTTAGCCGTCCAATACTTTCCACTCTAATGAAAACTGTGAACTACAATTATAGAATGTTGGGACAGAACAGGCGCTTAAGGTCATGGAGTTCAATCCCTTTGTTTTTCTGATGAAAGTATGGGGGCCTAGACATAACCTGTGATTTGGTCGAGGCCACAGAGCTTGTTAATGGTAGCGATGGAACTTGAACAAAGATCTGCTCAGCCCAGAGCAATGTTGTCCTCACTACACCACGGACGCTCTGCCTCCTATGATCAGTCTTGCTTAACCAGATCTCACAGCATAAAGGTAGCTGATGTTATTGGTTGTGGCTTACCCTCCGTGCCCATTCATCAGTTTGGTGGCTGAATGTGAAATAACGAAGGTGTCTGACTTATAAGTTGCTACAAGAGAAATGAAATGATTCCATACCCAAACCCTGCCCCCAACTCTAAAAATTTCCTGCTTTATGTTCATCAATAATGAATAGCCTATCCCTGCAATGCTCAGAGGGAGCTTACATTGCACTTTTGAGCAGCCGGTTAGTAATGTACAGTGGATAGAGCCTTTCTTTCAAATCCCAGGACGGCGGGTCCTTCAAGGCTAGCATTGCATTATCAATTAGCTGCTGAGTGAATGCTTGGCATGTGTACTAGTGAAGAGGCACACAATTAGCTTATTGTTCCTTTCTGTATTGTGCTGAGAGGATCCAAGGGATTGGTAGGGGAACAGGCGAGACAGGCATCACTGTGGATGTTGAAGAAGGGAGTTACTCAGACCTCAGCATCTTCACTTGCTTGCTCTGGTATTACAGCTATTTATTACTAAGCACTCTGTGTGGCTGGGTGGAGTGTGCCTGAGGAAACACATCCCAGACACCACCTGGGGTTAGTCTTGCTGAGCCCTCCACGTCTCTGACTAATTCTCGTCATTATCATGGAACCCAACAGTCCCAAAAAGATACAATTTGCTGTGCCTTTATTCCAGAGTCAGATTGCACCAGAAGCAGCAGAGCAGGTAAGTGGAATTGGGTGGGGACCAGTCCTGCATATAAGGTCATAGGGACATACACTCTTGGTATTAATTGAAAGCTTCTCCACGTTTTGAATTTGCCTAAACTTTGTGACTTGTGTGATATGTGAATGAGAAATAAGTTGGTTTCCACATGACCTTGTATTTGAGTTGCATTGGGGGAACTATTGGCTGAAATGAGCATTTTATGTGATACAAAATTAGCACTCATTAGGGAAAAATGGTTATGTTAGCAATTCAGATTTGGATCCAAAAATCTGTTTGCTTTTGCTTATTAAAATAACAGGTTCAAGATTTAGAGAAACTTAAAAAAAAATTCTCAAAATTAGCAACATTTTATTTCATTATTTATAAAATAAAAAGATTCATTTAACAATGAAAGCATTAAATCTTGGAATAATTTCAGATTACAGGCTTAATATTTTAAAGTTTTCATTGTATACCCAAAGCAGTAATTATAAGTATATGTAATACATGGTGGATAGGTTTTGCAGTTGTATATATAATTTAGAAAACATTTTATTCAGATATTAAAAATAGTATTTGAACATTTCCTGGATTCCTTTTCTATGTCTGATATATCTATATATCTGTTTTTCTCTGTCTTTGTCTCTCTGTCTCATGTGAGATTGGTTTACATCTGTATCACCTTTCATATTCAGATTTACTTAGATTCTTGATGCAATGGAACCACTTAAAAGATCATTTGTGGTAAAATTACAACAGTGGGGAGGTAAAAGCAAAGAAATGTATGTATTCATCAACCTAATTCATTAATTTCTTAAAACCTAAATTATCCCCGAATACTTTTCCAAATATTATATACAAAGTCTTAAAAATACTTATTGAATCTGAGGCTCATAATTTCCTAGGATGTTTTGATAATCTAAAGTAGATCCACCCGACTCAGGCCAGGTAAATACAACCTTGAACATGTATCTATGTTGAGTGGGGCATTGGTTCTATCTCGGACAAGATGTCACTGGTAAATTTTATCCTCTATCCTACTGACATATACCTGAGGAATTTACCTATATATTTAAGAAATCAAAGACGCATTAGAGATTCTAATCATAATACACTCCTGTAACTCTTAAAATAAGAAAAAGCCCCACATCGAACCTATTAGCTTTAAATGAATTATATACTCTCACAAGATCCATATTCATTCTTTTTTTTTGTTGATTTGTTCTAAACATTACAGTAGAAAATAAGAAAAGCTTATGATATTAATTGAAATTTAAGACTCATGCTGTTAAATTTAACCTGCTAGAAATTTGAGTTCTCTAAGCTTTTCTTACCCTGTTTAGAAATAAGGGTAATGGATCTTGAAAGCATCATCAATATTATAAGGCTCCAAGAGAGCCATTAAAATTAGCAAGTCATCCTCATATCTTCACTGCATATTAATTTTTAGTGTCACTATTTTATTATATTCAACTGTTGCTTTTCTGTGGAAATGTAGCTTTTTGGTCAAAGAAGGTGATACTAATATGTGACAGTTGTACTGTCTGGCTTTTTACTATTCAAAATAAAATTACTGAGCACCTACTGTGTGCCCTCCAGAAATTTGTTTTTGTGTGTTGGGAAAAGATGAGAATGGGACAGCTTTGCAAACTGTAGAGTAACCAAGCGCAGTGTCTGACTCTCGCTGACCTTAGCCGGGCCTCTGTCGTTCACAGATCAGGAAAAGAAGACCTACACCAGCATCGCTTGTGATTCTCAACGAACACAATCCCCCAGGTAAGGAAGCATGATGTCTTTCTTGCTAATGGAACAGAACAGAATTATTTGAAGAACGTCAAAGAGCGTGACATTGCCAAAAGATTTCAATTCAGGATTTCAGTTAGCAATAATCTAACAAGCTAGTTTATAAAATGGATCATAAACAAAATCAGAAATAAATATTATAGGAATTGTCTCAGCCAACAGCCTGCTTTTCTTCTAGAATGACACATTGGTGATGATACGCTATGAAATGTTTTGTTAGCATTCACTGTCATGTCTTCGGGTGTTTGCATAGAATCTGGTTCAGTGCTTATTAATGAGGCCGGTGGAAAGTTGTTTAATTAGGTTCCAAAGTTCAAATTACAGCCCTAGAGATGCTTATATCTTTACAGAGTAGGTTTTTTATTATGAAAGGTTGTCATGGGGTGGGCAATGAGCCAGCATTGGCTACAGCTTTGCTGCTAATGTCATCTCTGAATAATGCAATTGACAAGTAACCAGATCAATTTTCAGCACTGCCCATTTGAGAGCCGTTCTAAAGGGCTGTATCCATTTTTTGAGGTTTTATTTTCCATTTCCTGTAAAAAGTAAAGCTGCATTATTATTCCTGATAAAGGACTGTGATCTGCAATACGCAAACATTATTTACTTATTGAATGGGGGTGATTTTAATCTCACATTTAAGTGCTGTTTCTAGAAATACAAGTAAGACAGCAAATGTCATGGCATTAATTTGTAACTAGGCAGGACTTGGAGTTGGATTTTTGGTAGGTATAAACAATAAGAGTAGACAAAAGGAATTTGAATGGTGGAAACATAATAAGTCTAAGTATAGGTTGTAGTGAATGATCTGTTTTAAGAATGCCAGGGCAAAATAGTCTTCGACTTTTTCAGATTCCTTTCTAGTTAGAGAAACATACATGAGATAAGAAAGCAAAATTCTAATACAATATTCATCATTGAACCCAAGTATAGGAAGGTGTTTAGCCAATGGGAAACAAATAAGCAAATTTATTCCTGTTGAAAACAAAAAATTATGATTTGGTCCTATACCTTTAAAGTGCTATAGAATTTTAAAATCATTTTCAAATATATCTCAGAATAAATGTTAACTTAATTCTATTTGGTTGAATAAGAGATGCAAATGGTATGCACTTATAGTTTGCAAGTAAGTACAAGTAAATAAACATAATAATAAAATCTCCTTAGATAGGAGGTAATTTTATAGCAATTTCCAATCACTACCTTTGCCCATAGTGACAGACTTTTCCACAATCTCCTAGAGCTTACCTCCCTATGCCAACCTTTAAAAGTGTTGCTCAACTTGATTTCTAGGTGTCCTTCTGCCTACTAAAGAGCAGAGTTCTGCAGGCATTGTGACTGAACATAGTGAAACCATGTAACCGACCTTTGTGGCTCTCGTTTGAGCCATTTCTTGAGTGCCAAATATGTGCTATTGATGACGAAAGTGAGCATCAGAGAGATGAAGTGACTTTTGTTTAAGACATTCCACTAGAAGTGACAGACGACACTCAGATAATTACACTCAGACAATGACAGACAAACTGAGATAGTCCTAATTCTAAAGCCCACACATTTTCTACGGCATGATGTTACCCCTGCAAATTTCAGTTTGCATTACTTAGTGAAGGAATGTGATTAGACATTCAAGCCCTATCGACAAGCAAACCCGAACTTCAAATAAATCCTTTCTCTAAACCACTTAGCTTAGTGGACTAGGAATTATATTTAAATATCCCTGTCTGGGGGCCGGCCCCGTGGCTTGGCGGTTGGGTGCGCACGCTCCGCTGCTGGCGGCCCGGGGTCGATCCCGGGCGCGCACCGACGCACCGCTTCTCCGGCCATGCTGGGGCCGCGTCCCACATACAGCAACTGGAAGGATGTGCAGCTATGACATACAACTATCTGCTGGGGCTTTGGGGGAAAAATAAATAAATAAAATTAAAAAATAAATAAATAAATAAATAAATAAATATCCCTGTGAACCAAACAGGTTTTGTCTAGTAACCTTTTTCTTACCAGATCTCCTAATCATTAGATGGCATTGTCCTATTTCCCTTATTGACTCCATCCTTCTCTCTGTTTACAAGCACCACTGGAGAGAACTTAGATGCAAATAGCATCTCACAGAGAACTATGTTATTTTAGTAATGTCACCTCTCTGCATCTTCATCCTTCTTTTGGAAATGAAAATACTTTACAAGGGACAGATCAGCCTTTGGCTGTGTATAGCAAGGTTTATGGCAACCAGAAGTTTTTGGACTAGCGATGGATTCTTGAAGCAAAAAAATCACATGCCTGTATAGCTTTCCCAGTAAAAATGATCTAGAACCACGATTATTGGGGAAATAATCTAAGGACCCAACAAACAAACAGCAACAAAAGAACACTTCACCAAACCAAACCAGACCTAGAGACTGGTCTTTATTAGCCAGGTGGTCTTAGGTAAGGGACAACATCTCCAAGCTTTATCTTCTCGTCTATAAAATACAGATTACAATAGCCATCCTTTCTACTTCACAGAGTTGTTGTAACAATTGAAACAGTTAATGTGAATACATCTTAAAATTTGCAAAGTGCAACAAATGTTAGGTCTCATTAGCTGATGTTCTGGAATACAAACTGTGCAGGTGATATTAAAGAGTTAAGATATAATAAGAAGAACAGAAGCTTCGTAATCTCATCTGCACTAAATATTTCTGCCCTATTCAACAATTCTTTATGTTCCAAATATTATCTGAACACTTTCTATCAAACAAAACAAAACAAAACAAAACGGCAACAACAACAAAAACCTCGTTAAGTGTTAGATGATCTTCTTCAAGCAATTGCTTCTTCTAGCCCTCAAAAGCAATGTGTTCTTTTACAAATAAAAATTGGGTGCAGCTTTAAATTCTGGTAAACTAAACAGATCTCTTCAATTTATTGAAATTGCCCAGGAAACAACTGAGTGTTTTTGGAATTACCTGTCATTAATGCTGTTTAAAATTCAAATCCCTGAAAAATCTTTCTTTATTGTCAATTAATGAGGCAAAGAAAATTAAATTTTCCATTATAGAGACATAATTAACAAACCTTTCCAATTCACATGATGAGATTGGTGTATTGTAATCATTGTTAAATGAATTAGACATAGCTCCTTTTTTTTTTTGCCTTTGTAGAAGTTTGCAGAAATAGTCAATTATATAGCATATTAGAAAGAATGATTTGATTTTAGATTTAGAAGTACATATGCATTCTGTTTATATTTGATAGAAGGGAAATAGAATAGAAAGATATTGCATCACGTAAATCCAGATTGCTTGATTGCTAGTTCATCGATGCTGGTCTAAACATATAGACGAGGTAGGCACCCGACTGATGGATTCCAGGGACAGCAAAATGTCCCATCAGCCCCTTTCTAACCAATGGCCTAGAATTCTCAGCACTAAGGGCATTACGTAAACAGATATATAACCTGTTAAGGATATGTCACTCTCTCGCACAGATTAATCAGTTTAACTCAAAATAATGGGAAACAGGACTAAAAATTTTGAATTGAAGGCATCTTGTCTGAAAAAATTTAATAGCAAAGGACGTATTTTTATGGTAGAGAGAGCAGAAACTGTGTTTGCTTCCAAGAATGACTCTAAACAGCCAGATGGCTAAGATACTGGAAGCTTGAGGTGTGGGAGTAGAGAAGCACCAAAGACAAATTTCATCTTTTTTAAATGTTTTCTGGGGCTGCCAACGTGAGTGACCTTGTAGCAATCTGCTTATCTGTCTGTATTTTCAGTTCGTCTTCTGATTAAGGGCCTGTTTATGATAAGCTCTCTGAGACTATGTAGTAGAGCCTCATTGTCTATCCTTTACTGCGTGCTGTTTACTTTTACTCTTTTATAATCTGTAGTTAACTGGTTTGGTTACCTGTATTTTTATTTAAAGGGATGACTACACAGAAATTCTCTCTGTTTAGAAATAAATGGTAATGCCACTTTCTGCAGTTTATTTCATCACATTTCTGGATTTACTTAAACATTGCTTGTCTTTAAGTAGACGTATAAGAAGACTGTACATTTGGTTACCAGTATTAGAAATCTAGAATTGGAAAAGAACTTCAAGCAATATCTAATCCAACCACACATCTTCATGAAAGATACATAAATCAACCCAAGTCCCTGAGAATCACTCCATTTTATATATCTCAGAGAAGAATCCCTAACTACCCCTAGTTTTCAATTCCAGATCCAATAATTTTAGATGCTAGAAAATATAATTTCTTAAACCAAATTTGAGTAATGTCCCATTTTATTCTAAAATAACTCTTCATTTTCTCTCTTCAATAAAAATTCGTTTATTCACCTTTTTAAATACATAAAAGAATTTTTTATTATTTTCTTTTCTGGATTGAGTATTCCCAGTCCCTTATAAGGACCTTAATGAACTCTATCCAAATTCTCCTTGTCTCGTGGCGTTTGGAGCCCAGGACTAGACACAGTCTTCCGGTAAAAAGCCAGCCTAGACCAGGCCATCTGAATATTAAAGTTTGTGGCATCCATTCTTCTCCACTTACTGTTAAGCAGAGAAAATATGGTTACAATTAGATTTAATGGACCTGAGGCCTATTAAACATGAGTGAACTGTAAGAGGCCTAGAACATAGTGAAGATTTGGGTAAGTACCCAGGAGTTTTGGCGTCGTTTAAAAGTTTGTTGTACATCTAAGAAATGGAACCAGAAACATAATGTAAAATGATTTGGGGGGATATTTATTGAACTTCCTATCACAGCTGAATTTGCAGATTGATTTTATCTTTGACACTTTTAGCTCCAAATATTCTTAGAGATGAGGAATAAAAACAAAACCATTTTCTCACATGGGTCAGGATTCTAAAAATTAGTTGGTATGAGACATATGTATTAAATATCACACTATCTCCTTTCAACCTTGATAGTAAGTCTAGTCAGTAGAGACAACTGGGAATCTAACTGATTGGGCCGTTCAACTCTCAAACTG